ATTTGTTTAGCGTATAAAATTAACATTAAGTATTCCTGTTTACTGTGTAAAAATCAGATTTTCTGATCTCTATTTTTGTATGTTGTATGTCTTTATAATATGTGTGTCTCTTATAATAAGATAATATGGAATTTCTCTCAAAGAGAAAATGTAACTGGCACAGATATTTATAAAGCCAAACATATGCAAATCAATGAGAAGTTTGATTGATTGATTGATTGATTGATTGATTGATTGATTGCTTTATTGATTGATTTTATTTGACAAATTTACCAAAAATATACAAACAAGTCCAGTTAGACTAATTCATACATATTTTAAAAACTGTTAAGTTTAAAATACACAAAAAAGCCACAGGCTTATTTCCATTGTGGTCCTCCATAAACAAGCAAATCATAAATGGAGAGCAAACATCATCAGCTCAACAACTCGGCACAACAAAATCCTTAACTTCAACTTCAACTGTAAAACAACCACTTTTTAATTTCCCTTCTAAAAACACTCTCAATTTGAATCTCTTTAAAAATTGTGGGCAAAACATTCCAAGCAGCAGAGCTTGTACACAAAAATAATTTCTTCCTGATTCACTCTTAAATCTATATGGGTAAATATCCCAGTACGCGCTCTTGTAAAATGACAATGTACCTCACTAACTAAAACATTATAATTAAGAAAATATTTATGGACCGTTTACTTTAAAATCTTAAAAACCATCACTAATTTTAAAAAATGTCACCTTTTTCTCAACTTTTAAAAAATCACTTTGACTATAATATTCATTATTTAAATGTATCAGAGGAGTTAACTTTATATTAGTATAGAAGACAACTTATATAGTAGAGAAGTGCCTATATAGTCTCTCTGTATCTCTAAAATAATAGGTGATATTATGAGAAGAAAAATGTATCCATGATGGGAAATATTGTTCAAAAGCCTATGCATCACATTGGAACCTCTTATATTAATGTGTAAACCTTTAGGTAACCCAATTTGGGTCATAAATAATACACACTAAAAAATATTAGATTGTACAACTCAAATTTGTCACAAATATGCCCAACAGTTGGGTTAAGTTCATAAATTATTTTTTTTAATATTTTTAACCCAGCAATTGGAGTCATCCATATTTTACTGAAGAATTGTTTTGAGTGTATAAAATAACAACAATTATTCCTGTTTGCTGTGTAAAAATCTGATGTTCTGATCTGTATTTACTTGCTCAAAATTGTTTTGTGTCATATTTGATATCGAAAGAGACTATTCACCCCTAAATTAAATCTGTCACCAGTTACTCCCCCTATTTGAGTTTCTTTCTTCTGTTCAACACAGAAGATAGTATTTTGAAAAATGCTGCTTGATGTAACTCATCGACTTCCATAGTATTTTTCTTTTCTACCATGGAAATAAATCAACCAGCATTTTTCTAAATATCTTCTTTTGTGTTCAACAGATGAAAGACACCCAAAAAGGTTTAAAATCACATATGGGAAAGTAAATAGTCAGGTAATTTTCATTTTTGGGTGATCTATCCCTTTAAGGCAGGGGTGCCCAATCTTAGTCCTGGAGGGCCGGTGTCCTGCAAAGTTTAGTTCCAACCCCAAATAGACACACCTGAAGCAGCTAATCAAGCTCTTTCTAGAAAGCTCTTTTCTATACTAGAAACTTCCAGGCAGGTGTGTTGAAGCAAGTTGGAGCTAAACTATGCAGGACACCGGCCCCCCAGGACTGAGTTTGAGCACCCCTGCTTTAAGGTTACTATTGTCTACATAAAGAAGAATATGGAATTGCTCTCGAAGAGAATGTATAATTTGGAACAGATATTTATAGCACCACAAATATGCAAATCAATGAGAAGTTATCTTCATAACAGTATAGAAGATTACTGACATAGAAATGCTTATCTCTGTATCTCTAAAGTAATAGCTGATATTTTAATTTCAGTTATAATATGGGAAGCAAAAGATATCCATGATGGTAAATATTGTTCGAAAGCCTACGCATCACATTGGAACCTCCTATATAAAAATGTAATCCTTGGGTCAACTCAAATTTGTCTCAAATATGGAAGAAGCTAACAGTTGGGCTAAATTCATGAATTATTTTCCATTACATTTTTAACCCAGCAACTGGATTTGTCCATTTTTCACCCAAGAATTGTTTCTAGAGTATAAAAATAGTAATTATCATTCCTGTTGATCATGTAAAAATCAGATTTTCTGATCTCTATTTTTGTATTTACTTTCTCAAATTGTCTTTGAATGTCATTTTTGATACTTAAAGCGATAATTCTATTTAAGTTTCTTTCTTCTGTTAAACACAAAAGATGTTATTTTTATGCTGGTTGATGGAATCCATTGACTGCTATAATCATTTTCTTTCCTTCTATGCAACCAGCATTTTTCGAAATATCTTCTTTTGTGTTCAACAGAAAAACATATAAAAGTTTAAAATCACATGAGGGAGAGTAAATAGGGAGATGATTTTCGTTTTTCTGTTAACTATCCCTTTAAGGTTTTCATGGTCTATATAAAGGATCATATGGAATTTTTCTCAAAGAGAAAAAAAAACTCTAAATATGTAATTTGGCACAGATATTCAAAAATAAGCAAACCAATGAAAAGTTATTTTTATAATTGTACAGAAGACTACCGACAGAAACACTTATAAAGTTTCTTTGTATCTCCAAAATAATAGCAGATATTCAGATTTTTTTTTTTTGCTGATGTTGCTGATATTTAGATTTGTTTATTAATCTGGGGATCAAAAGATATACAATACATTTCCATAATAGTAAATATTCTTCAAAACCATAATGACATGTCTATACTATTGGACTTTGCCATGGTGTGAAAAATATATATTATTCTGTTAAATGTGCGTTTCCAGAGACAGTGTTTATTAGCATTGATAGATGGTATGATGTTTCCCTTTTTGCCTAACTCCATCTATCTATTGATTGATTTACTCATTTCCTTATTTTTAAGGATTGCTATCATTTCTTTATTATAACTTTACCCATACACTTATTGTATTTATTTATTTGGTATATATTTAGTTAACCTATTTGCTACAATTGATTGTGACTTATTTTTTTGTACATTTGAACTATAACCCATTGCACATTTTGGTAAAAGTTAACTCTTTTTCTGAAAGCACATTTTTGATACATACATTTATTTTGACAATCTTAAACATGTCACAAAAAAACCCTATGCATAACACTGGAAACTATATTGATATGTAAAGCTTCAGTTAACAAAATCTTAAAATATTACACTTAAAAATGTTGGGTTGTTTAACTCAAATTGGTCTCAAATATGGAAGAACCTAAAAGATTTTCAATGTCATTTTTAACCCTATACTATACCTCTCTTTTCATCCTGATGATCCCTCGGTTCCAGCTCGCATTTCAGCCTGCCTGTTGGATATTTCACACTGGATGAAAGATCATCATCTTCAGCTGAACCTCGCAAAAACGGAAATGCTTGTAGTTTCTGCCAACTCGACTCTACACCATAACTTTTCAATCCAGATGGATGGGGCAACCATTACTGCATCCAAAATGGTGAAAAGCCTTGGAGTAACGATTGATGACCAACTAAACTTCTCTGACCACATCTCTAGAACTGCTCGATCGTGCAGATTCACACTCTATAACATCAGAAAGATACGACCCTTCTTATCTGAACATGCAGCTCAACTCCTTGTTCAAGCTCTTGTTTTCTCCAAACTGGATTACTGTAACTCTCTACTAGCTGGGCTTCCAGCTGACTCTATCAAGCCTCTTCAACTGCTCCAGAATGCAGCAGCACGAGTTGTCTTCAATGAACCTAAACGAGCACATGTCACTCCGCTGCTACTCCGTTTGCACTGGCTGCCAGTTGCTGCTCGCATCAAATTCAAAGCTCTGATGTTTGCCTACAAAGTGACTTCTGGCCTTGCTCCTTCTTATCTGCTCTCGCTTCTGCAGATCTATGTGCCCTCCAGAAACTTGCGTTCTGTGAATGAACGTCGCCTCGTGGTTCCATCCCAAAGGGGGAAGAAATCACTATTGCGAACGCTCACGCTCAATCTGCCCAGTTGGTGGAATGAACTCCCTAACTGCATCAGAACAGCAGAGTCACTCGCTATTTTCAAGAAACGACTAAAAACTCAACTATTTAGTCTCCACTTCACTTCCTAATCTGCAATTGCCTCTCTGAATATCACACTAACTGTACAAAAAAAAAAAAAAAAAAAAAACTAATACTAATACTACTAATACTTCCCTTCTTAGACTTTACAGACCTGAAACTTGCCTATAGCACTTATTCATTGTTGCTCTTGGTTGTGTAAATTGCTTCCTTGTCCTCATTTGTAAGTCGCTTTGGATAAAAGCGTCTGCTAAATGACTAAATGTAAATGTAAATATAAATGTAACCCAGCGATTGGATTCATCCCTATTTGACCCAAGAATTGTTTAGAGCAAACTCAGTCCTGGAGGGCCTGTGTCCTGGTGAGTTTAGCTCCAACCCTAATCAAACACACCTGAACCAGCTAATCAAGTTCTTACTAGAAACGTCCTTGCAGGTGTGTTGAGGAAAGTTTGAGCTAATCTCAGCAGGATACCGGCCCTCCAAGACTGAGTTTGAACACCCCTGAATAAGATTAACAATAATTATTCTTGTTCACTGTGTAAAAATCTGATTTCTATTCCTTTATTTGCTAAAAGGTATGATTTCTACTTAAGTTTTGGTCTGATCATTTAGTGATGAAAGAAAATTGTGTACCAAATATAATTACAGCTATGCTAAGTACAATATACAAGCTCGTGATAGTTTTTGTTCTTGAATTGGTGGTTATGAGCATAGTTACATCTAATTACATCCAAACACAAAAAGCTGTTTGGATGTTTCGTTTAATTGTGAAGAACTTCTCTGCGAACAGTCTGGGTATGTTAAATTTGCATATGCGTGTGCATTTGCATGAGAATGAAGACTTAATGACTCACTCAGTCCTACTGAAATTTGTAAGAACATGTTTTATTAAATAAAACCCATGAGATAAAGAGCGAGTTAAATAAGTTGCATACAGTACAAAAGCTATATAACACAACTACATTATAAATATACATCACAGACACTCTGTAGCATTACAGTGATCCATGAGAAAGTAGTGCCCTCGTTTTCGCTTCCTCGCATAGACTTATATACACATCTGCTTTATATAAACAAAATAGAAAATATCCAATACATCACAGTTCATCTAAAATAAAAACATATGTACAAAGCTCCGGTTAGGCTAATTTCTGACATAACTAGTGAATTTGGTAGGGAGATTGTCCACTGGGTAAACAGTCGGGCCTGTTTTCATTGTCGGGGGTCCGTTTGAGAGAATCCAATTGCAATGCTGCGTTAACTCAACTAAAAAGATCTTGAGTAACACTTTGGCGAACTCTTTGCCCACACACATCCTGGATCCTCCTCCGAAGGGGATGTAGTTAAACCTGGACCCGTCCTCCAGACCTTTGCTCATGAATCTCTCCGGCTGGAACTCGTCTTTGTTTGGAAAGACGTCGGCCACATCGTGCGTGTCACAGATGCTGTAAATGACGTTCCATCCTTTAGGAATTTGGTAACCCTGAAAGGAAATATATAGTGTTAAAATTGTTTCTGACAAATTACAACATGCACTGAAAAACAAATTGCCGCACAAGCAATTTTTTACTAAAATATTTATTGATTATTGAGAAAGAGGCAAGCGGTAGAAGGACTAAAATACGTTTTTTTTAATAAACATCATTTTTATACTTTATTAAATTACTTAAACTTTTTTTAAAGTAATTAAAATCTAGTGTACTTAAAAATTGGTTTAGGAAACCATTTTTACTTTAAAAATTTTCATAATTAATTACAAGAAAAAACAAGTAACTAAATTGTTTACAAAAAAAATAGTTTAAACTATTTTAACTCAATAATTACTAATAAAATTCAACAATTAATTATAAAAAGGTTAAATAACGAGAATTTAATAGATAAATATTTTTGTTTTGTGAATGTAAGGATTTTTTTTACAATTAATTTATCCACAAATTATAAACTAAAAAGTTAACGAATTATTTAACAATATTTTAATAGATAATAATAAAAAATAAAAGACATAATAGTTTAGTGGTTATAATTTATATAAATTAATTTTTATTATTTAAAATTATAAAAATATTTTAAAAGTAGAAAGACTAAAACTTTTTTTTTGTTTTTGCAGTTTAAACAATTTAATTATAAAAAAAAAAATTATATAATGAAAATTTATTAGATAAATATTATACTTTACTGAGAGTATAGATAGAAGTAGACTAAGTATATAGTTTATAATTTTTTCAAAGACATCTTGAAGCTTGAAGTTCAACTTACATTCAATTCAAAGGTTTTGAGTGCGACTCTGAATCCTCCAGGAACAGGAGGGTTGATTCTGAGAGTTTCTTTAATCACACATCCAGTGTACTTCAGCTGGTCCAACAGCTCCATGCTCAAGCCTTTTCCCGGTGTATACATGCCCATTTCAACCTGTCAATGCAAATTTAACATTAGCCCTGGCCCTGATTGAGTAACATCATCAAACTCAGAATGAAACTTCTTAGATCTTACCTTCTCCTGAACCTCCTCTCTGACCTTCTGCACCACTTCTGTGTTCAGACCCAGAAACATGACTAGTGAGGTTGCAGTACTGGCGGTGGTTTCATGACCTCCAAATAGAAGCTCTGTAGCTGCTTCTTTCATCGCCTAAGCAATACGAAACATCACATTAGCACTGAATCGTACTTTTTGTGGGGCACAGAATAATATAAAAATAATACACTACCTGCAAACTAAAAGGTTCGTCACTTCTTCTGCTGTTCTCGATCAACAGCTGAAGAGCGTCTTTGTATTTCTGCTCGTTTTCATTGTCGTCATCTTGAATTTTCTTCCTGATGTTTTCCTCAATTTTAGAGTGAATGAAATTGCGTGCCCTCAAACCCTGCCGATCAAAAATCACACAAGTTGAGTTTAAGAGTATCGCATATTGAGAATGCATCTTCAGACATTTGTTCTGAGTAACTCACCCTGTACAGACCACTGAAAGGAACGTCGATTGGCAAGGAGAACAAGTTTTTGATCATTTCCTCAAAAGCTTCCACCAGTTCTTGCTCGTCCGTCTTTATTTGCTCTGGTTCAAAACCAAGCAGGATTCTCATAGCTATCCGAAACATGAGTTTCTTCATTTCTGGATAAACCAGCACGCAGGAGTCTTTTTGCAGCCATTCCTGTATGGCGCTCTTCACCTCCTGCTGGATCACGGGAATGTAGTGCTCCAGAGCATCTCGAGAGAACGCCCTCATAATGGCCTAAAACAGAAGAAGAAGAAAAAACTTTTAATTTCCAAAATAATTATATCAGACAATCTGCATTTTTGAAGATGCTCAAATATTTCATATTTTATATTGAGTAATATATAAAATGTTAATTTTAAAATTACTATATAAATATATCATATTTATTCTATATTTAATATATAAAATATTTAACATTAAGTTTCACACATGAGTGAGTGTCAAACATTCATATTATTAAAGCAGCAAAAATGCATGTATCTTTGTAAGAAGCAAAAATATTGTATTTTTTTAAATTAATGACTAAGTAAAGGCAAGATACTCAAAAAAAAGTACATTTTGAATTGAAAAGACTGAAATACCTTGACATTTTTTGCATTACTTACAATTTTTAAAAACATTTTACAGTATAGATGCATTAAAAAAACATTGAGTTGCTTCAACTCAAATCTGGGTAAAATATCGACGAAACCAACCATTTCTTACATCTTTATTTTACTAGAAAGAAAGAAAGAAAGAAAGAAAGAAAGAAAGAAAGAAAGAAAGAAAGAAAGAAAGAAAGAAAGAAAGAAAGAAAGAAAAAGAAAGAAAGAAAGAAAAAAAAAGAATGAAAATCTTATCATCCTTACCTTTTTCTTGTTTTTGTGTTGAACTCCATGGACATTGGAGAGGGTGTCAGAGCCCAGGATGGTTCTCACTGATGCTGGCCACTGAACAGACACCAGCTTGTGTTCGCCCAGCAGAATCTGCCTCACATTATCAGCTCCCATCACCCTGACAGTCGGGTTCCCGAAGAGGTGCGTCTTGTAGATGCACCCGTATTTCTGCCGTTTCATGCGCAGAAACTTCCTTCTCTGTGTGTGATGGAGATGCGTTATTGGCACAAAGCTCACAAATGCATGTTATAATACAAGAAATCATTGATTTAGCAGTTAAATACTTTCAGCTGAACTTGCAGCAAATTGCTGTAATAGTGCACGCTTACCTGGAGGATCAGCTGGAGCGTTTCTCCAATGAACGGCAAGCCCATGGTACCTGGCGGTAGAGGACTTCTGCAGTTCGGATCGACTCGTCGGATCATTAACATCTCCCACAACTTCACCGCGGCGAGAAAGAGTAAAACGGGTAGCACGATGGTGCAGAGAAAGGTGACCATAAGGGTGTACAGCCCCATGTTGAAGCGCGCAACTGATCGCCAAAACGAAAAACAAGCTTCTGGAGAGGAGACGCGTCTTTACGCACAAACTGAGGGCGTCCTCGCCTGCGCGCCCTTATATATCCATTGCGCGCAGGTCTCCTCCTGTTAACTTCCTCAGATAAATTAGTTCACACAAAGTTCATCTTTAATTGTGGTGTCATCTCGCCCCGCCCACAGGGCAGAAGCGGCTCCAAACTCTCAACCATTTGTTATAGGCGCATTTTAATACCACCTCCTGTAGAAGGCAGACAATCCTGAGATTTCACTTTGAAAAGGTGTTAATTCCCCCGACACAAAAGGAAGCATCCGAGGCTCTTTTGTTGCCAATATTCCCGTCGTTTACACTCATTACTCTGGGCTTGTGTGGCATCAGAACTGCCGTGGAGGATTTAATTGAGGAGCTTAAACTGTGAAGCTTTACTTTTACATTTTAAATCCCTTAAATGTCCCTCTTTTTGTCCTTCTCTGCTCTGGGGGTCCTTAAAAGGCTATAACACATGTTAGACAGCCTACTCAAACATGTTCAGTGCTAATCGTATACATTATATATATGGAAAGTGCAGTTTTAGTCTTAAAGGTTTCAAGTTTAATTAAACATTCAATGAATCGTTTAGGTGAAAATCGTCTCTGCAGCAGTTTATATATAAATATATGTACAGAAGTCAACATTTGAGTTAGTAGTTAACATATTGTATAATGATTCAATTAATAAAAAATGTACTAATAATGCATATTTATAGTGTTAAATATATGAATATTTATATGAATAAAAATATTCATATTTTAAGTGCAGATTTTGCTACACTTGAAATGTTGATGACTAATGTAATGTGTATGTATAATAGAAAGCATTTTATTTTCAAAAGTTGATTATAATAGTGTGATTTCTGGATATTTCTATAAATGTAAAGTTCTATACATGTAAAAAAAAGTTGGATCAGATCACTAATCTCAGGAATTTGCTACTACACTGATACACTTCAAAATATAATGGTAAAGAAAGTGCTAAATATTCATTAACATTACACTGCAAACAAAATTTGGAGTTCCACACAATTCATATCAAATTGATAAAGTAATTAAACAAATTAAAGTAGATGGAACATTAAACAACCTGGTTGTCCCCCAAAAATGTCAAGAATTGTGCTGTTTCAGCTCATTTTAAATAAGCAGTTTGAACAAGCAGCATTTGTTTGAGTGTAAAAAGGGGGAACCTGTGAACTCTGGGCTGCATCCAAGTTGTTGAGGTCACTGTTTTCTATAAGCTATGACAGCTGTATGTTGTCAGGTCTGGATCTGATCTCATGTTAGACTTTAACCTGGAACCCGTGCCACAGATATTATGCCCTGTTTTCATGTGGAGCAGAGTGTGCTGTAATATCATAAATATGATCATTGTCTCGCTGCGGGTTCAAACTCAGGTCAGCTCAAAAAGTGACGGAGCAGAGCAAGGTTACCGGTACATGAAGAGCAAACACCCACTGCAGTCTGAATTACTGTTTTTACGACAGCCATAACGTGGAAAAAACAAGCTGGGAAGCGAGTCAGTTAAAGAGACAGGATGGCTCCAAATTTTTCCCTCTCCTCATTCTTTGATGTGTGCCTGCCCTGCATTTCACCTTTCATCCTGTGCAATGGGACGGGGAATACTCACGCATGACACATCTATGTTTGAGGGTATTTTAGGCATGCCTCTGAGTAAGCAGTGCGTTCATATGTTAACCCATTACTCAACCGTTGCCATATTTATTCTACGGCATGACCCAAGCATGCCAAATACCCTAAACGAACCTTCAAACTTGGCCTTATTTGTGAATTTGTGCAATTATGAGGCTTGTTTTCCCTCGTAAGAGTCGTGGCAGTGTGTGAAATGCTTTGATGAACCTAATAAACTCTTTGAGCCCAGAGCAATGCAACCTGAAGTTCAAGGATAGTTCACAGAGGAAAGCTTGTATAAATTCCTCTGTTCGTTTACAACGTGGTTTATGTTGGTATTTATTTATTTTAGATTATAACATATGTGTAAACTGTGCCTTTGAGGTGCTGTTTTTTTAAAACCACTTTGTTTAAGTCTGAACTTTATTGTAGACTTTGATGGATTTAAAAAGGGTCGATTTTTATTTTTGCTATATATTTACTCACACAAAAAACATAATTAGTATCTTTTTTCAGATTTTTTTATTTTTAATTATAAAAAATATGGAATATTTAATTAAATGTTAAGGGAAATGTTCTCAGAATAGTGATTTTATCTGTTTATATAAATGTGTTTATTTTTATTTCTTGTAAAGATTATATAGTAACCCCCAAACACACACATTATATATATATATATATATATATATATATATATATATATGACAAATCTATCTTTTAAATCCATAGCTTTAATAGGAAACTATTCAATATTATATTTGTGCATATACATTAGATTAGTCAGTACTGAAGCCAAATCTGGAGCTCAACTAACAAAATAACGTACGTTAACAGACCAAAAACTAGTACACCCAAATGTATGTTATAGAAAAATATTAAAAACAAATTTAAAAAAAGAGGAAAAATCAAGAGACACAAAAAATGGAAAAAAAATTAGTTGAAATTTTGTAGGTTGTAAATTGGTTGTAAAAGGTTGTAATTTTTTTGCAATATTTTGCTTGTATTTAATTGTGTTATCTTTCAATTTCTAAATATATTTGGAGACTAAAATATTATTTTAATAATTATATCTGATTAATAAGTCTGTTTTGTTTAAATGTACAAAAATACATTGCCTATATTCACTGGGAAATTGATAAAAACACACACACACACACACACACACACACACACACACACACACACACACACACACACACACACACACACACACACACACACACACACATATATATATATATATATATATATATATATATATATATATATATATATAATAAAAAAAAGCCTCAATTTCTTTGACTTTACTGGATTTATTAAGCATGGATGAAATATAAAGTAAAATAGTGTTTTATACCAGGATACGATAACATTTCTCTTCCAAATTTCATATTAAATAATTGTAATTTAAAGAGTTTCCCTCTAGAAAACAACTAGGTGAAAATAAACCAATGATTTTAAATGAGACTGAAAATCCAACAAATATTAATTTCCCAACTCAAAGTTAAAACATTGGTGTTGTTAGTGAATTAACAAATATTAAATATACAGTTGATTAACATTAGCATTATTAACCCCCTGAATTATTACCCCCATGTTTATTTTCCCCCAATTTCTGTTTAACAGAGAGCAGATTTTATCAACACATTTCTAAACATAATAGGTTTTATAACTCATTTCTAATAACTGATTTATTTTATCTTTGCCATGATGACAGTAAATAATATTTTACTAGATATTTTTCAGGATACAGCTTTAAAGTTACATTTAAAGGCTTAACTAGGTTAAATAGTCTAACTAAGCAGGATAGGGTAATTAGACATATTTTTGTATAACCATGGTTTGTTCTGTAGACCATCCAAAAATATACAGCTTAAAGGGCCTAATAATTTGACCTTAAAATGTTTTTTTTTAAAGTAAAAGTTTAAAAAAAAACTGCTTTTATTCTAGCCAAAATAAAACAAATCAGACTTTCTCAAAAAATAAAATAAAAATAAATCATACTGTAAAATTTCCTTTCTCTTTTTTAACATAATCTGGGAAATATATATATAAAAAAGGGTCATTAATTCATTAATAAAAAATAATAATATTCACCGAGTTTTTATAACTAAAACCGAGTTTACCACACGCATTGATTCGCTTTCAGCTATTAATATCTTGTTTAGGCTACATGTTTGTTTATCGATCCATCAATATTAGTAATCTTCTTTCTAAGAAACGCTGTATTTCTGGTCTAATTTTTCATTCTCTCCCAGCGCGGAGTTTTGTGTGCTGGTGCCGGTGCTCGTTCCCGGGCGCTGGTGACCCGCTGGTGACCCTGCAGCGCGGACCCTGACATCTCTGTGAACTCCGAGAGCAAAGCTCGCCAAGTTCACTGTCCATCAAATAACGAGATACGCCGCCTGAGCAGCAGTAATTATCCACACTGCCATCTATTCTGCGTTGTCCATCACAAAAATCAAATCAAGGGCATCATTAAAGCCACTTACAGTAATGTTCTAATTGGGTCAAGAGATAAACAATCTTTCACTGCAGCGCGAGAGAGAAGGAGAGAGAGATTTAATTGGAGCCTTCGATGAAGATCGACGCTTTTATCAGTTTTCCCCGCCTATATTTAGCCATGCAAGAGGGGAAAACCTGTTTTCAAAACGTAGGCCTAGTTGGAAATTATATAATGACTTTTAAGGAATAGTTTACCCAAAATTAAAATAATGTAGTCATTCACCCTGTTTACTCATTACTTAAGCCTACTTTCTTGTTGAACGCAAAAGAAGACATTTTGAAGAAAGCTTGAAACCTGTAGCATTTACTTCCATAGTATTTGTTTTTCCTTTGGAATTGCAGGTTGTCAGCTTTCTTCAAAACATCTTCTTTTGTGTACATCAAAACAGAAACTCCTAAAGGTTTGGCACCACACGAAGGTAAGAAGGCTAAATATTAAGTAGCCCCCTAATTTCTCTTTCTTTCTTTCTTTCTTTCTTTCTTTCTTTCTTTCTTTCTTTCTTTCTTTCTTTCTTTGGGTTTCTTTCTTTCTTTCTTTCTTTCTTTCTTTCTTTCTGTCTGTCTGTCTGTCTGTCTGTCTGTCTGTCTATCTATCTATCAAAAATGTCACAGGAATTGTGAGAGCTAAAGTTTGTTGTGATGATAGCGCGGTTAAACTCCGATAATTTCAAAATAGCCTGTTTTAAAGAAAGTAAGTTTATTATAGAAAATATAGGCTATGCAAAATAATATATAAACAAAACTACAAACCTACCGTGGGCTCACATAAGACATAAAAGAAGTGTTATTTTTGCCTCCTCAGGCGAACACGACTTGCACTCCAAACAATGCAGGATTGTTCCGACGCAAATTTGGGTGAAATGTGGACAAACCTAAGTTTGGGTTCAA